ACTGTTCTACTATTATCGAGTTCTAATCAGCAGTATCATTGATTATTGTAAGTCGGAGAATTGAATGATAAACATCAGTTACGACTAAAAAGCGGGCCGGGTTTATATGTTATACAAATTTCCGGGGCGGGATGATATCACCTTGAGATGTTTAGGTATCTAACAGCGGGCCGGGCTGAGTGATAATATGATCCCGCGTCGAAATCCCGGAGATATTTATATTATGTTTATATGGGCTACCGGGATCCGGCTTTAAACTTTACTTACTAATTATTAAACCTTATTGACGATCGAATGACTAACTGACTAAAATTATACGTTGATCAAGACAACAAATGATGCATATTATTAAGCATTGCACAATGTATAAATTGTACAATGTACAAATTGTATATAATATGACAAATTGTACATTGTACAAATTGTACATTGTACAAATTGCACATTGTACAAATTGTACATTGTACATTATAAAGCTTGTAGTTAACCGGATGATTGAATTAATACGGTGTACCCTAACTTTTCACTAATATAACTAGCGTCACTAACGCTAGGGATCCCAGCTGGTCATGATTACACTGAATAAAGAAAGATATGGCGAATGAAGATAAGAAGATATGGCGGAATAACATGTGCCGCCCAGTGACTATAGCGCAGATGATAAGAAAGGAAATGACACACACACATTCCGTGTCGAGACTTTACACTGTAACAAGGAATCAGTACGCGTACACACGCGCCGGTAAGCGCGCCATCAGCCGTGAGAAACTCTGCTATTGGCTGGATCGAGCACTGATCATGGTTACCATGGTTACCATATCATCATACACGCACACACGCGTGTGTGCGAGCTTTGTTTACTCCTCCGATGACAAGGTGTAGTTTCTGCACGCTTCTGCCACTTCTTCTACAATTATATTGTAGTTTAGTCAATTTTAGTCAATTTTTAGTAGTTTAATCTTAGCCTATTTTCAGTATTTTAGTCATGGAATATTCCAGTAGGTTTTAGTCCATGATATATGAGCCCAGGAGCCCATATGAGCCCATGATATATCTGGCCCATCGGGACAGTATATCAATTCCATTTTAGTTGATCGCACATTTTGCACACATTTTATCTTTCCTTATCTATATAAGTATATAAAATTCATATAAAATGGTTTTATCAGGTATCTAATGCTGACGTACTTAAGCGGGCAAACATCGTTCTTGTTGATACTTTCGTACGAGCAGCTAGGCTCAGATGGCTTGGCCATGTGATAAGGATGCCAGAAGAAAGAATACCCAACTATCTTCTGCACTGGATCCCAAAGCATGGTAAAAGGTCAAGAGGCAGACACTTCACAGGTGTCGATAACATTACATCAAGAACAACAAGCAACAAACAGGATACATTGGAGAAGTCTTATACACCGGAAAAAGGAGTTTCTGTGTGGTGCAGGCCACTCCAACGACTAGGAGGAGACCTTTTCAAGTACGTGGAAGTTATCTATAGTTTAACGGGCTCTGCTATTTCCGATTAACCAGCCCATAACTTCCCACCTTTCTGAGTATCGCACTGCTGTCACCTCAGACGTGACCAGTACCGCGGTAACCAGACAGTAGAGGAGTTTTGGGGGGTGGGCCCTGACCCTGACCCAGATCCTGACCCTGACCCTGACCCTGACCCTGACCCTGACCCTGACCCTGACCCTGACCCTGACCCTGACCCTGACCCTGACCCTGACCCTGACCCTGACCCTGACCCTGACCCTGACCCTGACCCTGACCCTGACCCTGACCCTGACCCTGACCCTGACCCTGACCCTGACCCTGACCCTGACCCTGACCCTGACCCTGACCCTGACCCTGACCCTGACCCTGACCCTGACCCTGACCCTGACCCTGACCCTGACCCTGACCCTGACCCTGACCCTGACCCTGACCCTGACCCTGACCCTGACCCTGACCCTGACCCTGACCCTGACCCTGACCCTGACCCTGACCCTGACCCTGACCCTGACCCTGACCCTGACCCTGACCCTGACCCTGACCCTGACCCTGACCCTGACCCTGACCCTGACCCTGACCCTGACCCTGACCCTGACCCTGACCCTGACCCTGACCCTGACCCTGACCCTGACCCTGACCCTGACCCTGACCCTGACCCTGACAGGGTCATCAATTGACCCCAGTGTAATTACATAGGGGTCAATTGTCGGGGGTCAATTGTCGGGTGGTCAATTGTCGTACTAACCCCTAGATTTCGCTACAATTCACCCCAGTGTAATTACATAGGGGTCAATTGTCGGGGGGTCAATTGTCGCACTACTGTTTTGGGATGGCACTTTTGTGGAAAGTGATTGAGTGAGCAAAGGTTTTGTATACCTTACTCGGGATTATTATAACCGGGATAAAGTGGTGGGTTTTGGAAGATTCCGCCATATTTTTCCCGGTCAAAAATTTTACCAGTCATAAAAAAACCCGCCGACTCAGATTATGGGGTTCCAAGGGGGTGGTGATCATCATATTTTACCTGAAGTCTCATATGTGCTAGAGAAGACTTTTGAAGCAGTGGATGGAGGGCTGTAACTTTATTGGCGGTTGCTACCATAATTTCGTTATAAAAATCACAATTTGGTTATAGAAATCAGATTTCAGGGTGGACCGTGATTCTCACTTTTCTTGCCCATGAAGTGAGTAAACTGTGCCACTATTTCATGGTCCACGGTGGATTGATTACTGGAGCCCATTGCATATCCAAAACCCCGCATTCTCGCATTCTAAGAATGTAGGAAATTTTTAAAAGTAGGAAATTTTTGACAAAAAGTAGGAAATTCGAGAGCCAACTCTGAGAATTTTCAATAATATTTCAGTAGGAATTTAAGTGAAAGAGCAGACTAAAAGTTGCTGGACTGTTATTTAAATGTCCTCAGTCAGGGATCCACTGATCCAGTCTATCAAATTTCGTTTCACAGACCAAAGTTTGTTGCATAAGCATTCTTTGTTGCGTTTCCTATCTTATTTAAATAGTAAATACTAATAGTCATTATTATATTTTTGGAAAATTTAAATTCCTTGTTTCTTGAATATTTGGTCTCATACTTGCTTCCTTCTCCAAATTCCCTTAACCCTGTATTAGTTTATAGCTTGAAAGCAGAAAGTGATGGTAGTAGATGAGAAAACATTTTTGCCAAAATTATAAACTCTTGATACTTCATGCTGTCTCCTATTTCGTGCTTTAGTTAAGCCAAGTGTTTAGGGATTCTAGAATCCAGACAATTTTATATCCCAATAAAAATTGAAATCAAAAAATAGTATGCTAAAATCGTTCTCCATTGTCAGATTCGTTCCAGGAGGCCAAATCTAGTTTAAATTTCCAAAAGTTTCGGGGGCTTCGCCCCCAAAAGTAACCTAGGATTATCTATTAAAAAGCATTCCGGGCCCTAAAAAAGTAAAATTGAGAATCTGGAATCCGCCATGAAAAATCTTTGAACCGCGCGAATACAAAGACTTTTTATGCGAGCGAAGCGAGTGGGCCACAGAAAACGAAAAAATTGAGAATGTAGGAAATTAAAAATTTTTTGGATATGGGTACTGGAGCAGTTGAAGATGCAAAGCCAAGACGTTCCCCAATAGTATTGGAGCTTAATTTCCTGCCCACCGCTTGGTATTGGCAATACCAAGCGGTGGGCAGGAAATTAAGCTCCGGCTGACCTTCAGAGCAGTAGCCCCATTAGCGGACAAAATGAAAGTCTTGTTAAGACAACAATACAACTTCGAATTTGACGGTCAGCAGCAGGGGGATATCAATAATGATAATGGAGGGGACATTAGCGATACTGAGAATGAGAATACGCTTTAATGAAGATTTGACTTATTATTGCTATAGATTTATTTTCCTTCAAATACTAGACGTGTCTTTTTTTCTATTTATGAGTAATATCAGTAACTGTAAATTGAAATAACTTCTTTAACAAGTAACAAAAACAGAAATTTCGGTTGAAAATTTGTTGACCTCTGAAAAAAAACTTGAAAGGTCGGCCACCGGTAAATACATGACCGGGATAATTTGGCGGGTTTTGGGAAATTCCGCCATATTTTTCCCGGTTATTAATTTTCCCAGTCATAAATTAACCCGCTATAATATTCCCGAGTAAGGTAACTATGAACTACTCTTAGTTCGACTATACTTGATTATCTTAGTCTTTTCCCTTTGTTCATCCTGCTCTTAGTAAACTAAATAACTAACTTTTGCTGCACGTGTGTTGCTATTAGTATTAGATTTAGCTATTCAATTTACCTGAAAACCGTAAGAACTTAGCCCATAGCTATAGTTGGGTTACTAGCCTTTACCTACAACTCCCTGATCCGATTTATTAGCTTAGACCGTTTGAACCTAGCCTCTAAAATATTTGATAATTATTCGTCAAAGCCTCTGGTTATCAATTAGAGTTGCACAACAAATAATATAGCTCATTGCGTAAAACGGTTAATTTATGCTTTGCCAATGTCAGGTTCCAATAATTTCACATAATCCTAGTATAGTTTACAACGATATATTCATTCCTTCATTATCATGCATTTATCATTCTCAAGAAAACAATTTGAATACGACGGTATATCTATAGGGGAAGGGGGCGCCAACAGGGGGCGCTTTTTCAGCGGGGGGGGGGGGGGGGGCGCCAACAGGCAACGTTACGCCACTGGGTACGACGGTATAACTATAGGGGAGGGGGAGCCAACAGGGGTCGCTTTTTCAGCGGGGGGGGGGGGCGCCGAAAACCACGTTATGCCACTGGGTACGTCATTAGGGGAGGGGGCTGACAGGGTGGGCGCTTTTTCAGCGGGGGGGGGGGCGCCGAAAACCACGTTATGCCACTGGGTACGTCATTAGGGGAGGGGGCTGACAGGGTGGGCGCTTTTTCAGCCGGGGGGGGGGGGGGGGGGGGGGGGGCGCCGAAAACCACGATATGCCACTGGGTATGACAGTAGGGGAGGGGCTGACAGGGTGGGCGCTTTTTCAGCGGGGGGGGGGGGGGGGGGGGGGCGCCAACAACAACGTTTCGCCACTGCGGTACGACGCTGTCTCACAAATTAAAAGTCTCAATACACGGCGTTAAACTCTCTCAATATTCCTTCAACACGGCTTTAAACTCTTCAAAAGTAGCCTTCTTCCTCTTAGGAGTTCCTGTAGCGTCTACTATCATCTGCTCTACCTCCTCTATAGTGATCTCGTCATCACCCAGCTTTCTGTACACATGTAGTAGATCTTCAACCCCTATCAGACCATCTCCGGACACATCGAAATCCTGGTGATAAGGAATAAAGATATCAGCACTGAGCAATGATATTTAACTGAGACAATGGCAGCTGTTAAGGTGCGGCCCGGGAAATAGGCGCAACCGTCGGTTATAATAACACAAGACTTGTACCGTGGTTGCTATGGAAACAGTTACTAACACAAATCTTGGTTACAAGGAGGAGGATGCGACAAAATAAGTATAACAAATTGAATTAAAGGTGTAAGTTTCGAGGATCCTGTGCTAACTAGTCGTATTTAATTAGGAATCATACTGGAGCCCATGACTTGTGTAATATACTGAATGTAGGATTCCCACCTACTGAACGTAGGATTCCCACCTACTGAATGTAGGATTCCCACCTACTGAATGTAGGATTCCCACCTAATGAACGTAGGATTCCCACCTACTGAATGCTTATTGCTTTCAAATAATTGACTGGTCATCTGGTGTTTGTATTGCTTACACTAGGTCACTTCTTCAGGCATTATGGGTCTTTCGGCGAATGTTTTAACTATCAAGTTATGTATATGCATATAAATATATATATAATTATATGTGCAATTAATTTGAACGTTTGTTCATTAAAAATATTGTTACGTTAGAAACCCAAAAATACCAACAACAAAAAAACCCAACTTTATCTGTAATTTCTATTTTGGGAAAGAGTTTTTTGGTGTTGGAAACCTCCCCAAACATTATTACTCACGTTGAAAGTGTCCTCTAGCAGCTCTCTGTCATCCTCCTCGTTACTCTCCATCAACCTCTCCATCATGGTTTTAAACTCATCCAAACTAATAGTACCGTCACCGTCCACATCTATCTGAAATATAAACATCCTTTAGTTTGTAGTACCGTCACCGTCCACATCTATCTAAAATATAAACATTATTTAGTTTGTAGTACCGTCACCGTCCACATCTATCTGAAATATAAACATCCTTTAGTTTGTAGTACCGTCACCGTCCACATCTATCTGAAATATAAACATCCTTTAGTTTGTAGTACCATCACCGTCCACATCTATCTGAAATATAAACATCCTTTAGTTTGTAAGTTTGTAGTACCGTCACCGTCCACATCTATCTGAAATATAAACATCCTTTAGTTTGTAGTACCGTCACCGTCCACATCTATCTGAAATATAAACATTCTTTAGTTTTTAGTACCGTCACCGTCCACATCTATCTGAAATATAAACATTGTTTAGTTTGGAGTCTTACGTTAATTATCTGAAACATAAACATCCTTTAGTTATCTGTGATTTATATCTAGAGTTAAAAACTGAAGTTGAACACTTTTTTTACTTTAAAAAACTATACAACCTTCCAAAACCAATGGTGCCCCTCGGAACTCGCAATACGAAACTCCTCCTATGGTGTGAAAGGAGGATTTGAGCACACTAAACTGTGTAATTAATGAAGAAAGCTATACAATAATTCTAGTTTAACACTTGTTATCAAATTTTATAATTTCAAGTGCCTCTGATCCCTCTCTTAACTTTTTAAACAACGGGCGGGACTGCAGAGTCGAGTTCTTGACGAACCTATCTCCTTATATGGGCATAACGTGGTCCCCAACAGATCAGCACGTGCACCTCATTTCCCCAACAGATCAGCACGTGCACCTCATTTCCCCAACAGATCAGCACGTGCACCTCATTTTCCCACTCACCTCCCCAACAAGCAGGTCTATCTCCTCTATCGTAGCCTGCTGTCCCAGGGACTCCAGTAACCCCTCTATTTCCTCTCTGGATATGGTCCCGTCCTCGTCCCGGTCCAGCACCCTGAACGCTACCTGGAAATCCTCGTCAGTCCACTTTGTGACGGAGCTGCTTTTCCTTTCCGGACTGAATACCCTACTGAAGGATCAGTATATTACCGTATAATGACTATGAGTATGATATGACCGACTACCTGCAAGTGCCTACTGCTACCAGTCGTGAAACTCAGTTCCATGTGAGGTACCGCACTCTTTTGAGATTAAGCTTGAGTTTAGAACATGTTTTTTATTACAAAGAAGTTGGGCTTCAAGGATCCACACAATATGGCACTGGCACAATACTCTAAAGCTCTAATACTAACAAACATACACATTTACCGCTCTCCTCCTGCTTTAACTGCAAACCCCCTAGTCAGTTTGCTCCACATTTTCACTTTTCCCTGATCATCATGCCCACCCAGCTGGATGTAGCTTGCTCTCGACTCTTCTCGTTTCAACATCTTAACTTAGCTGATATTTGTGCTAAACATCAGAGTTTAAAAAAGCCTTGAAATCGAATGGTCAAAGGAACTTGGTAGAGACAATAGGAGTATAGGGGGGGGGGGGGTTCACCCTGATTTTTTTGTGAAACTTGGTTTCGAGATAGCAGTTGACCAACAAACTAGGACCAGTGACCAAACTTTTGAGGGGGTCCCGGACCCCAACCGCGAAACGGTGCCCGCGGGGCAGCCACGCCCATATTTGGTCCATATCAGGCCCAATTTAGCCAAATACCCTGAACATGCCCAAAACCCAGATTTTAGGTGCTTTACTTGTAGCTAGTGGTCCCCTGAACTCGTATATGAAGTTTCATCAAGATTGGACAAAAAATGACTGAGTTATGAGCTAAAAACTATATGCCCATATTTGGGCATACACACTAAATTTGATCGATTTTGGCCCATTAATTAGTCAAATATCAATTTTTTTGAATGAAACTAATTTTATATGAAAGGTAAGCCTAAACTACACATTCTCTATGATTATCAGCTCAATATCTACCTAACTGTGGCTTCTGTGTTCAAATAATCGCAAAAAATGAACAAAATCGCCCATATCTCAGTTCGCGATATTTGCAAAACTGACTTCGCTCAAAACAATAGAACTCAATAGGGTTTCAATATTTTTTCAAGAAATTTTCAGTATCAACGTAGAATTGTCTCATGACCTTCAGTTTTGGGACAGAATTTTGAGTTAGGCCTTTAAAAAAATTTGGCGGCCAAATTCTAAAATTTGCCGGGCATTTTTCAGAATTTGGCCGCCAAATTTTTTTAAAGGCCTAACTCAAAATTCTGTCCCAAAACTTAAGGGGGCATACACCAAAACAGTGGTTTGTGCCGTCCAGACCAAATGACCTCATAGGCAGTTCAGTGACCTTCTAGCGCACCGTTTCCACACCAAAAAAAATCATTTTGAGAATACCCATTTTTGTAATCGACCATTTCCTGGTTAAGAGTGCAATTTTTGGAAAAAATAATTTTTTGGTTGAGACGCTATAATTTAGCTAATTATTGAGATAGCGAGCTAAAATTTTTCAAAAAACATGTTTTTGTACTGTTCTACATGGGTGTAAAATTTCATTACCGTATCTCAAAAGGCTGATGTGTTATAACCATTTAAAGTCAAAAAAGCTGAAATTGTCCTTTCAGGCTCATTTTGATCATAAGTCAGTCAGGGAACAAGGTCGTTTTTTATGCTTGACATGAAATTGTTCTCTGAACTCTGGCGCAGTTTTTGATGACTTCAAAAATGTGTTTACTCATTTGTAGTCAGATCTATTGGACCTCAAAGTTACAAGAAACAAGTTATGATATTTTTATTTTTGTCAAAAAAATGATTCTGAAACCACAGAAACGAAGCTTGGACTCCAATTTTAGGTGAAAATGGTCCGCTTCAATGTGCTCTAAGACCCTGTATTGGTTAGGAAATCATTCTGGCGAACAAAAATCGTGCATTTTTTCCCCTGGGTGATTGTAAGATATTTGGTGTGTTTGCCTCAAACGTCCAAAGTTATTCGATTTGGGGCTAATATATTATGCTGGAGTTGGTAACAGTAAACAGAAGGCTTTGAAACATGATTTGGCAACAAATACTTGTTGAAAAGAGATGTTATTTAACTTAAAGTACAGGGTGGGCCAAAAGTCAGTGTGCAAACGTTGGGTCTTATACCTCCGCCGTGTTTTATATTTGAGAGCTGTTGCTTTTCAGATGGCATACTGTACTTACTGGTTCGAGGATTCCGTCGCCAAAATTTGAAAATTCGAATATTTTAGACCACGCCCATTCAATATTAAAACACCTATATTGTTTTCTCTGAACATGCTGAACGCCTAATTTTTTCAGAGACGGTAGATTATCAAATGTTGCATATGATCTGAAAACATGAGGCAAAACGGATTAGAAATGACGAAGTTATCAAGCATTTTGTGTATCTCGTTAACAAAATTGACTGGGTGATTATGTGACACCGTGACACGACACCTTAATTGGGCACCCTTAACAATTCCTATAATGTTTAACGGGGTAGTTAACGGGGTCACCTTATCACGTGATTAGGTAAAGTGTAAACCAATCACCTGATCACACGTAATGAATAAACTCGTTATGCTTCATATCTCGGTCATCTGAGAAGCTACAGTTCTAATTCTTTGAGGACAAACGTAATTCGAATGGCCAAACACAATTCAATAACATTTAGCTTGATCCGACTATCCAAACTATCAAATAAATGTGAAAATGAACCTCCATTTGAAAAAAATGAACGCGAATATTTTTCGAGTTGACAAATTCCTCGAACCAGTGGTGGTACTAAGTCATACCAGAAGGAAGTATTTCAATTGGGCACTCAGTGACTGAGCTATTAAGGCCAACGTTTGCACACTGACTTTTGGCCCACCCTGTATAAAAACCAATGTTAAATTGTTTTACAAACAATAATAGTTAAACATGATACGATCACTTCTACATATTTACAACCCAAGCATAGCGTTCAACAGTTTTGTTTGTTTTGTTTGGACATATTTATAGATACATGAACATATTAACTAAAAATTACATAAGTTAACTCATTAACGTGTAATTGAAGTGTACGTACCTCCACACTTTCAATTCTAGTATTAGCAAGGCTGGTAGTGTAACTGAGTAAACAAACAGTTTCCGGTATAGATAGAGGGTTCAGGAATGCGTGAGTTTATACCGTTATTTCCATCCAGACCTCAACCAAGACATGGTGGTTTTTGCATGTCTAGGTCATAAAAAGGATGACCCGTAAACTGGACTGGGGACCCAGCATGGAAGTAGGGGGTGATCTCCCCCTGCGGGAGCGCTGCCCAAATTATCAATTTGTGCAGTCTAGTAGGAATTTTGCCTATATAAAGAAATTTGAAGAAAAATGTAACAAAACTGATACTGGAATAATAATGGAAACCTATTAGTTTTAGTAATACATCTGTGGTAGATGTACCTTGTAGAATTAAAATTAAAAACCATACATTTCATTATTGAAATATATTATATCTTTACTACATCAGGAATCTAATGTGAAAATAGCACCGACATTGTCATGAAGGAAATCAGAGCCCTATTGAGCGATCTAGAAGCGCAATTTACGTTCAAAGAGAAGCATCGTCTGAGGCCAAGGGCATGCACAAAATGTGACACAATCCGTAATTTTGCACATCTGGTTAAATTTACGATTGACAATTTCTCGGAACTGTTCAGTAAGTTAGAAATCTCTCTCCCGTTGTCAGTCCTGGAGGGTCTCTCATTGGAATATGACTTATGGTGTTGCAAATTAGACGGCACAAAAATGAGCAAACAGTGCACATTAAACTCATTTTCCAGCGACTTCTATTCAGACATTAGCTTCAAATACGGGCATCTCCGAACGCCCTGTAAAACACGTCAACAACAACCTGGCATAGAGCCTGCTGTTGAAGTTGCTGCAAGTGAATTTAATAATGAAGCAGAAACTATGACTTTGGAGAATAACACATGTTTCCTAGATAAAAGCTTTTTTGACAGTTTCAAATGCCACAAGTGTGGAGAAACGTTCCTCTGCGA